ATCTATGGAGGTTTCAGGGTGCAGTCCTTTAATCCATGCAGTCCCATATTTGTCCTCTAGGATCTCCTGGAAAAGGAACGTGAGACTGATGTCCTCCTAGTGGCGTCTTCTAAGAGCAGTTGGTCTCTGTCTCTGGAGATTTGTTTCTGTTCAAAGGTGTGCACACCTGCTGCTCCCCTCACACACCTCTGTTCCAGCTGTCTCTCTTATGTTCTGTGTGCAGACCTGTGCAGAAGCAGGACTCTGCATCTCCTAATGTGTGGCCCCTGTAGGTGATAACGGGTCTTTCTGGCTGCTGTGAGTGATCTTAAATATCAGTGGGGACACATGGAGGAGCCAGTCATTCTGCCTGGCCTTTGTGGTGGCTTCCAGGCTTCATCTTTGCATCCTTCTCCAGCACCACTGCAGTCAGTTTTTGCTCTCAATCACACAGGTTACCCCTGCCTACCTCCACACACACACACACACACAAACACACACACAGAGAGACATGTGCACACCAGTTTCCTGCTAGAAAAAGAAACTTTCTGAAAGGCAATACTGCTCTTAAATTAATTCAGGCACTCTGGACTGGAGAGACTGCCTGTGCAGGCAGGACAGGTGCTGTGTCAGAGCTTGAGGGGTGCTGTGCTGGGCTAGGGGAGAGCAGGTGCTAAGCAGCAAAGTGCTTTGGGTGCAGGTTAGCCCTGCCATGTGGGCATCACCTTCTGGTCCTTTTGCTTCATGTACATGAATCCTCCCTTGCAGTATATTTGAAGTGGCATGATCTGATCAGGTCTGGGATGTCACGAGCATTCCAGCCACTTCTGGTCTTACCCACTAAGGAGACAAAAATTATCCAGATGGTTGTGATGCTGCTTGGGAGGATGTGGAGATCCCTTGTTGTTCAAGACATGCTCCTCTCTCTGCATGTTTTAATGGGAAGCATCTCAACCCTGTGCAGTGCAGGCAGGGCCAGTGCTGGTCAGCATCCTTGTCATACCATGCTGGCTTTAGAGGAGGGACAGATGACGCTGTCACAGGGTAGCTGCAAGTGTGGACTATCACCTTGTGGGGTGGCCCCAAGTGCTTGTCCATGAGAGGTTTTGCTGTGGCCTCCAGCACGCTCATGTTCAAGAATCCCCATGCAGCAGCAGGGAACACCCTTCACTCCACCAAGAGCACTTCCATCTGGTGTCAGTGAAACTGGGCAGCGTGTGGGATCCTCCAGGAGTACTCTGGAGGTGAGGGGGGCTGAAGCCCTGCTGCCCTGTGGTGCTCTGCCCCCGCCTGTCTGACTGCCAGCTCCTCCTGCCCACCTCTGTCCGCAGGCCCTGGCAGAAATGCTGAAGGTCAATAGCACACTGAAGAGCCTGAATGTGGAGTCAAACTTCATTTCTGGGTCTGGGATCCTGGCTATTGTCGAAGCACTCGAGGGCAACACGTCGCTTGTGGAGCTGCGCATTGACAACCAGGTAAAGGGAGTGTGGGCGGCAGCTCTGGGCAGGAGAACATGGCCTGTGTGTGGGGAGTGAGCGTGCCAGGATACAGAGGCTGAGAAACACAGAGCGTGAAGCAGCTGAGCTGTGGGCAACTCAGAGACAGCTGACTGAGAGATCAAAATCCTGGTTTCTACATATCTACTAATCTGTCCAAGAAATGAAGTCTTTGGGCAAAAGGATTTGTGGGAATGTCCGCTGGAGGAGTTGGAGCTTCTCAGTTGTAGCGTGTGTACAGGAACAGGCCGGTGGTTTGTTTTACCAGCTCCAAGTCAGACATAGACACAGGTCCAGAGAAAGATCTGCAAATGTCCACCCCTTCCCTCTAAGTGCTTGCTCTGAATCACCCTCTAGCCTGAACAGCTTGCTTTTCTGTTTTCTGTTTTCAAAAGAGTCAGCCCTTGGGCAACAAAGTAGAAATGGAAATCGCAAATATATTGGAAAAGAACACCTCCTTGCTGAAGTTCGGGTACCATTTCACTCAGCAAGGTCCCCGGCTTCGTGCCTCCAATGCCATGATGAGTAACAACGACCTGGGTGAGTCAGGCTAGCCGAAAGCTGGGAAGCATGGGAGGGTCCTGTGGGAAATTCCTGGTGGGATTAGTGCAGAACTGCTCATGTTAAAGATGTGTATGAATTGGAATGTGCCTGTTGAAGGGCCTGATGATGCTCTGCCCCTCCAGGAGGAAGGCAGCCTTCACCAGCTGGTTTCTTACTGCACCGCTGTCAGCCAGGCAATGTTTTCTGTAGTAACAGTGGGCATTGTTGGGAAGGAGCAAGAGCTGCTGCTGTGGTTCAGTAGAGCTTGTGATACAGCATGTGGCACATGGGCTACGAGCTTCTAGCATTTGTGATTCCTGCCAACTGCTTGTCTTCCTCCAGCTTCATTCCCACTTTAACAAGGAGATGAAAAATAGTGGAGTTGAACTTTGACAGCAATTTGTCTCCGTCTCTCTGGGTGCCTCCCAGTGAACCCCGGCCAGCCCCGGGTCGGCAAACAGCGGGGGGGCAGCCCCGAAGTGACCGACAGCGGGGGGAACACTCTCTGGTGCCCCGAGGGTACTGAGGGCAACTAGGCTAGTCACCTTTGCAGCAGAAGAGACACTGGAGACATCAGTGGAGGGTAAAAGGCCGACTCTGAACAGGGGGCCAATCCAAGGTTTATTCGGAGCTCCCCAGGGAGTCCCTCTCCTCAGGGTGCGCCGTGCTCAGAGCAAGACAAAGGAATCTCAAGGTTACATTTAAAGGGGGGGAGGAAACCGAGGGTAGATACATTTGCTGACCAATAAAGACCCTCCAGGGATACAGCCTTAGGGGATGGACATTTGGGATAGCGTATAACATCATCCTTGGGGGGCTGACCCCTGGCTTCGGGCTAATCACTCGACAGCTTTGACCGAAAGATCTAGATAGAAGGGATGGGATGCTGAGTGACTGACAGAGAGCCAGGGCGGGGATTTGGGGGATGATCTCAACACAGGAGAATGGTTACATAGGTAGAGGAAGGGGGTACAAAAAGGGGTACATCATCTGGGGAGAATAAGGGGGTACAAAATCCAACTATTACAAAGTATTACAAAGTATAAAAACGCGCTGCAACAGCAATTAAGATGTGGCCCATCCCCCTCAGCAAAACTAACTGGAACTGCTTCTAGGGATATGTGGGAAGCCACATTGCTTTGAGTTATCTGTATACCCTCAATGAAGTGATTAGACGTGCTTGAGAAGCAAAATGTGGGCAAGCCTGCAAACTGCCATTTCAGCCAAAGCACGTGACAGAGCCTTTCCATTGCTTGGCTATAAGCTGCTGTAGAGCACTGGAAACGAGGCCAGCAGAGCAGTGCTGAACGCAGCTAACACACCCACCACACTGTACACAGCAGCTGTCATAGCAGGCAGATGCTTAATTTGTTGTGTTTTAAAAACAAATGGAAAAAAAATCGATCTTGCTTCTGCCGGTACTCTGATCCTAGGAAGCACAGCCAAGCTATGTACCAGTTCTTCAAGGATCACACAAAATACTCAGTACCCGGTCACTCGAGCACTGTGCTGGGAAAGGCTTGGTATTTTCTGTCCTTTGGAACAGAGCATAATTTTTAATGACTCTGCAGCACCTGGCATGCAAAGTAATCAGCTCAAACATTTACAATCTAGTATTTTGATTGTTCCTGCTGTTAAGAGAATGAATTCACAACTTGCCTTCCACCTAAGAGTTGTGCATTTTGCCTCCTTGGCCACTAAGATCTGTATTTTTTGTCTGATTTGGTTCTTGTTTGCAGCTCATATTCATCGGTCTGATGGTCTCTGGCAATAGCATCTCAGCTGTACACCTGGACAATGTATAAGTAAAAAAACCCTTTATTTTGCTCCCTGTCAGCAATAGCTCTCTGCTTGTGCTCCACTTCAATGTTCTTGCCTATCAGATGCTACCAGAACATGGTTTTGGTCCCTTACCTTCTATCCCCTAAGATGTTCTGTGTGAACCAACTTGGAAGGCTTTATGTTCATCTTCATCAGCTAACTTCTGCATTCTCTTTATACATTTTTGTTCTGGCTTTTTTTTCCCACACCTTTCTTGGAAAGTCATGAGTGTAGGTGCCAAGAGGTATAAATCAACTTTTAAGACTAGATATGAGACTTTTGGCCATGTTAACCATGATCAGAGGACTGGAGCCAAATGGCTTAGGATAAGAAGAGATTTTTAATTTTTTTTTTAATTGAAAAGGCGGATTTTTAATTTGAAAAACTAGCAAAGGAAAAACTGTGGCATCTGTTTCCTGCTGTCTCTCCATCAGTCAGATGATGAACTGGCTGAAGTCCAATTACAAAGACAAACTGTGAAATATAATTAACTACAAAATAAGGGAGTTAAGGCTGAAAGTAGCTGCTGGCCTTAAAAATGCATATGGAGAAAAACCTCCTTTTCCTTGATTTTACTGTGTAAGGCTGTGCCTGCTGCTTAAGGCAGGAATTCAGAAGCTGATGCCATCCTATTTCTTTCCTGGCAGAAAGTACATCTTTCAGCTCCTTTCTACAGCTGTTAAGGCAAGCCTGCCATGCACATGATTCCGTTGCCATGACTGATTCCTCTTTCTCTTCTTTTTCAGTGAGGAAGAGAAGACTTGCAGAGGTGAATGGGCCTATTTTTCCCAAGTGCAGAACTGGAGTGTAGTTCCTGTCTATGGAGGTCATTCCCAGTGATCTGTGCTACACTGTGGAAATCTAAAGGCAATTAAGTGCCTTGACAGAGTATTTGTGGTGCCTCTGTTCTGTTTTATGCACTAACAGTTGAAATGAAATAGTGGCTGTAGTTTGTATCAAGATTTTATCCAGTAGGACTGTTGATGTTTTCTGTAGAGCTGGAAACTATTCAAGCCAACGTGTCAATTTTATGCAACCTCAGTTTAGAGTACAATCCAGTGTTAAAGGGGATTAATTTTTCTATAAAATTCCTGCATGGTGTTTCATAGTTAGGATGTGGTATGCATGAATGAACGATACAATTGTTTCACACAAATTATAAAAGTATTAAAAAAATACTTTATTTTTCAAAGTTGATCTCAAGTAACTACAGAGGAGTAACTAGCACTTAACAAGCACTTCTAACATCTGGAAACATGGCTAATTTCAAGAATTGTGAGTTACAATTTTTTGTCAACATTTGCTGAATCATTTGAGATGTTGTGTCCAATGCATCCCAGTGTTTCTTACAAAAAACTGATCTCCACTCCCCATTAAATGGAATTTAAGGCCACCAAATATAAAACAGTCTCAAAAATCAAGTGGTTTAGATGGGTGAATATCCTTCAATCCCATGCACATGTGAAGGAAGCAGTCATTCTTAGAGGTGTGATGCAAACCCTAATCCCCAGAGATGGCCAAACTAATCAGCAAATGAGAACCTTCTCTTCTACTCCCGACTCCTTCAGTTTCCTAGTGTTAAAAGCGTTTGTCCAGATATTCACTGCGGACAGGTCAAATTCTCTCCCTTTGCTGTTTTGTCTAGATGACCATGTCCATTAACTAAATTTTGTTCTGCTAGGAATTACTGCTGTCCCTTATGTCCACATAAATGCAAGAATAAATGTTGTGCCCTAAAGCTGTGAAGTGAAATACCCCAAATCTGAACTTACACTACGTATGATCTCACAGCTTTTTGTCAGTGTACACTCATCATCTAACCTGGGAGGAATTCCCCACAGGCTTGTGGGTCTCCCAGACCTGCAGTAGACTGGACCCAGCACATCCAAAACTCCCACTGTTAATGTGGGTGGGATCCTGCTCAGTAAGAAGTCTCCATGGAAAAAGCATTGCTGTACTGAAACCTTAATCTTGGGCAGAAGACACATCCTAGAAAATGTTCTCTCTTGATAGAAGTCTACCTCTAAATGTCTGTTAGAGAGTGAAGTTTTTCAGCCTTTTACATATATTCTGGCAAAAGTCCCAGAGATTTCTCCAGAGATTGTGAACAAACACTGCTGATGATTTAGCTCTGACCAGCGAAGCAGAGAACACTATTCAGCAATGTGGGAAACATACTTGTTGCTCTCCAAATCTTAATAAATGTGTCATATAAAATGCTTCACCATAGCTTGTTTCCTCCACTGTGCAAGTTCTGTATGAGAAAATGAATGTGGAATAAAAATACTTGAAAACATATTAAAATGAAAAAACTGGCAGACTTTAAAAAGTACTTCCTTCTATGTGCACTGTGAAGACTTTGAAATGGCCAACTGAATCATCAAATTAGAGCTCTGATGGCTCACTTTCAGCTGAGCCATCTACTCATAGATTTGCATGACACAGGCTCAGCTCTTCCCTTGGTTTCAGAAGGTAAATGACTCTTATCTTGGAAAGACCTGGTGGTACTAAGAAGCACAGACATGCACGGAGATGCATCTGCAGACCAGGGAGCACTACCACAAGCATACTACTACAGCCCTTAACAAAAAAAAAAAAAAAAAAAAAAAAAAAAAAAAAAAAAAAAAAAAAAAAAAGATAAGAACTTTGTCCTGTGTTTCACTGTAGCAGCATCCACATTAACCTTGCAGCCCAAAGGTATATGAAGCTGTCAGGATCATCCCAGGTTCCCTGGCTGATCCTCACAGAGCTGTTTTGCTGCAGGATGCATCTGACAGCTGAGGGTGGTGCAGCAGAGACAGGCAGTGCTGAAGCATCAGGCTGTGTGGTGAAAGGCTATAAGCTGCGCAGCAATGGAGCTACAAAATGGTGATACTTAGGAGCAAATGTATCCTTGTTTGCAAATCTGGCCCAGCAGCTCCCAGGGAAAAGGGAGGAAAAGCCATCTGGTGACTGCAGCCCATCCAGCTGAAAATTCTTCCCTCTCCTGGAGCACATGTGCCTTCTCTCAGGCATTACCACTGAGATGCCTGGATGCCACCACATAGCTTTTCACATGGCAAGTCCTTATTTGTATTAATCTGACAAAACAAACCCAGAAAACAGGACAGAGAGCCCTTTATGGGCTAACTTGCAAAAAACAGGCTAAAACGGTCTCTTATCCTCTTCTCTGCTCCCTGCAGCAGAGAGAACATGGCTTTTTGGGACTCCATCTGTACATCTCAAATCCTTCTCCTCCCTTACCTTATTGCAGCAAGGACCAGGAGAGGCCTCATGGCTCCCCTCTGCCTTTGAGGTAGAATCTCCAGCTGTGAGGAGCTCTCAGAATTGTACCTTGTAGCCAGGTCTACCATGTGTCAGACTAGCTACTTTCAGTGTTTATCTCTGCAGAATTAAGCACCTCCACCATAGTTTGTGAAGTGTATTTGTGCAGTACTTAAAAAATTATAATGGAAGCACTAAAGGTTATTTATCATAGATGTTTCAGAAATTTACATATAAAATAAAGCTGTTGCCATCCTGTACTGATAAGTGATACAGAAACAGCATTACAAATTGATTACAGTGTTCCAGACCTGCTGATAGACTGAATTACAAAATTGTGTTCTTTTTAGCCTAACACAGGAAGATCATGGGGCACTCCCCATCAGTGCTTTAGACCAGACTTGCAAGTAGAACTTGCATGTTTCTTCACAAATACTCCAGTCCTCAAAACCACAGAGGTTAACCAGCCAGCGGGGACCGGGAAGCCAGGGAGACACTGGCACTGCTCAGACTCCTGCTTAAGGTGCCTACTGATGGGAATTTTCTAATTTCTTCTCAAGGGTGGGTTGTTCACAGATTTACTATTAAATACTATCCTAGAAAGATTCCCAAAGGAAACACTCCTAAGCTCCAGGGTTTTGCCTTGTTAATGGAATTGTCGTGAGGACAGCTGGTGAACCGTTGATTTCATGGTAGCAATACTGGAAGCAAGAAGAAATGTTTGTCATGGCTTTAATGGAACCAATGCCCATGTATTTAACTTGCTAGTCAAGCTAACAGTGAGGCCTTGCTGAATTAATAGCACCATGGGAGAAAGGTACAATCCATATGCAAATAAAATGGCCCTGTCATTAAGCAACTGCAGAAACTTAAGAAACTATTTTCTCGCCTTTAAAAGCATTTGCCAGTAAAAAACCCCAAACCTAGTGACTTTGATGTCCTAATGACTCACTGTTTAGTTCCCAGAATGACAGTAAATTTCAAAGACATTTTTCAGTCAAGACACATCTTCCGCGCTATTAATAAATCCTTTCTGTACATTCGACAGCATCAGGCACACAATACAGCACGTGGAGCAGTATTTTAAGCTCACTTGCAGTAGATCCCTTCAAAGACAATTCCTCCACTAACAAGTGCTGGAAATTGCATAAACATCTTCAGTTTTTAAAAAACTCAACTCATGTTTAAAAAGCACAAATGCTTCCCAGATCTTGAATTATTTAACCTGGATAAAGGATCTTGACGTCTCCTCATAGCTGTTGCTGATATTTATGCACACATGCATCACTTCCAGTGCCATGATGCTGGTATTTTGACAGTCTCTGTGCTCCCCTCTTTGTGTGCTTGTTTTAACATGGTTCAAGCTGTTAGTTTTTTTTAGTGCAAGCAGAGCTGAGCCCTGCCTATTTCATACACTGACAAGCTGAGGAGAAATAACAGTTCCCAGGGAGACTGAGCACTGGAGAGAAGATTGGATTTGCTGTTCATCCTACACATCACACAAGTATGGCTAGGCAAACAGTGTCTCCGGGCCTTTGCTCCAGTTCCTTATGCTGCTTTCAGCCAGTTTTACAGGAGTTAAGCCAGTAATTTCAGGTAACATCACCTTGCTTCTCACTGCTATAAAGCAAGAGATGCAGGTTGATGGCATGCATGTGGAATATATCTTCAGGATCTAATTTGGTCACATACCCACACCAAACTGATAAACCTGCTGTTTGCACACCTTACTACAAGCTATTGAAGCAGATGCATGATCCTTGGAGAGGTCAGAAAGGTTGATCTCCATGCAGGAAGAAAAAAATGGAATTGTTCTTGAATTCCTTCAGTTTCTTTTGAATTGTGAGCAGCTCTGTCACACTGCAGATACTCTGCTCCAAAATCCCCATGATAAAGGCCACACTACAAGACTGCACCCAGAGAGAGGAGTCCTGTAGTGCTAGTGATGAATCGGGCACTCTGGTAATTTACAGGCAAGTAATGGATGGTTTTCAGGGCATATTCTATGTTTAAAGGCAGCATATGAACAAAACTTTCCAAGCCGACACATTTTCATAATTTCCAAACCTAACTGATTAACAGATAGAGATCTGGTTACAGAAGCCCTTTACATGAGCACATGCCAGATTAACCAATGAAACAGCTTAATCTTTTCCTGTGTCCAGCATCCTTGATGGAACATGTTCAATTGGTACCCTTGGCCGTCTCCTTGTACATTCACATTCCTCCTTAAGTATCTGTCCTGAAGCCCTTGAAGTTACCTTGAGCTCCTTCTCTTGACAAACAGGACAGCAAGCTGTAAGACCTTTGTTGCAACAACTTGGACATGTCAGGACAAGCTGCCGGCAGTGCTGACTGGAACAAAGTTTATATTGGTCCCACAGCACCCCACAGTATCGGCATGCTGGAGGGAGGAGGAAAAGAAAAAGTTAACACCCATACTGCTCTGGCTGCTCCCTTGCAGAGGGCTTGCCAAGGCACCATGGGGCTGCCAGCTCTCATTTAAGTGGCTACTGCAGGTTTTTAGTTCCTGTTTAGCTTGATCTTCTAGAATCTAGTTCAATTTAGAACATCTTTTTTGACATACTTAAAGACAGTTTTCCCTCTGGAAAAGAGAAGAGTAGCTCACTAGTGCTTTCTCTAGTTCTGAATAGACAAATACAGAGATTCTTACTGACAAGAGAAGAAGAAAGACATGCAGGTGGCAACTAAGCCAGTATGCAGGAATGTCACCTGCTGAGGAGGGGGATACCATGGAACTTCTTCCATCTACAAACAATGGCTTGTGCAGACAGGGTGCCATTTGCAGTCCTGGTAGAGTCCTTCCAGAACATTATGGGGTTTAACTCTTTAACTGGAAGCTAAAGCCTAGTTTTAGCTGTACCAAGAAGGTGCATATCACAGCACTCCCCCTTGAAACTTCTGTAGGGATGGCTGTGATGTATCCAGAGTGTGTTCTGTTTCCATACCAAGTTGGGCTCCTTCAAGAGGTATAGAGTAAATGCAGAGGAGGAAGGGGAGGTTATGCTCAAGAAGTTATCAACTCAGCAAAAAACCAGCATTGCTTCCTCAAAAGAAGGGCTAGAGCCAAATTCCAGCTACTTGTATCTAGCAACTAATAGCAAAATAAGAGATTACTTAACAGCAGTAATTGAAGAGCAATCCCAGCCAGAAGATCAGACAATGTTCTCAACAACTACGACTAGAGGCCACTGAAATTCCATGGGATATAGAATTTCTTAAGCATGAAAATAATAAATTGCTGTAGAGCATAGTGCCACTACTCTCCCAATATCTGGAAGTTTTTGCTGATATTCTGTGAGACTGCTGAAGCAGAGGACTGCTGGTAGCAGGAGAACTATTTAAGGCTTTGGCCACTTGGCCAGCCACAGTCTACTCAGCACTGTGGGCAACCAGGTGGTAACAACAGGTGTAGTGCTGGACATATGTCTCCATAGGTGCAGAGGGCTCATAACAGAGCTGATCTGCAGGGGATACTTCCTCCTATGGCTCCTGTTTTAGTGAACTCTTGTTAGTGACCCCCTTTCCTCTCATTTCTGTTTTACATGTTAAAGCACATGTAAAGCACATGTACATGTTTACATATAGTGTTGACAGTCATCACAAGAAGTGACTGCACTATGAGATCAAACCAAGTATGAGGAAGAACTACACAGGCCAGTTTGGCTGTCCCTGTCCTGCACACCTCTTGAAATTATTGCAATAGCTTCCCAGCCTTCTACACTTACATTATCTAGTCCTACCTGAGATGATATCTTCATTGGAACAAATGGCGTAACGATCATCAAATACAAACAGCTTCCCCCTGTAGAATCCATCTGGAAACTCTTCTAGGTACTTGTGAATTCCACCTTTTAGCTGGTAAACCTCTCTGCACACTGCCTGTTTAAAGCATATTAGCAGAAAAACTGAAGGAGACCACATCAGAGGTGGTGTGCCAGAGTTCCCAAAGCAAATGCTGTTAAGTGCCATGGGTAAGTGAAAAGCAGCAGCCTCTCAGCCTCTCAGTGACCATCAGATGGCAGCATGTGCAGCCACAGCTCTAGGTAGTGCCACCAGGGAGTACTGGGCAACTGCACAATGCTGGCTTGTTGGAATGAACCCAACTCTTCATTTAATGTTACACTAAGGGAGCTAGAAACCTCCTCACCTGAGGAAGGTCTGCTGCTTTTGAATCTCCATGAACTGCTGCTTGTTATTCAGTATTTATTTAGTTAACATTTAGTAGAAGCAGAATTTTGCAGGGTTCACATTGATGCAGCAGAAAAAAGAACCACAAGGTTTAAATCTATGGAGAACGTTTGTGTTCTGTTCCCTTGATCCTTGAGAGAAGGATCCAGGAGAAGAATGGGATGGAAATTTCAAAACACAATTAGAACAATACAATGCGCTGGATCTAGTTCTGGGAAAAGCACTGACTGGCTAATTTTCACCACTGTGAGATGCTCAGGCCGTGCAGTACTGACCACAGAGCATAACCTAGACGGTCTGTGGAAACACTGCAGAGTATTTTCAAGCCCTCCTAAAACAGTCCTACACATATCTCTTCTCAGGAAATGGGTTATGTAATTATTTTCACTGCTGTGACACTAGTCCACGCAGGTCATACTGAGCCACACTCAACTATCCAGGTCCTTGACAGTCAGTGTGAGACAAGCACATGTCAGAACTATCTCCCCACCGGAGCATTCAGCAGTTTGTGCACAGTAACAATTCACCAGCAAGACAAAAGACAGGAGCCCTTAAAGCAGCCTCAATGCCCTGACACTTGTGCCCTCAGAATGACATCTTACCTTGCTCCTGAGATAAGCAGAGCCTCTTTCACAACGAATCCCTCCTGTGCAGTACATTAGGACACGCTTGTCTTTAAAAAGCTCCAGGTTTTCATCTACGTAGATTGGAAAATAGCTGAACTTCCTGATATCTGGAGCCAGACAGCCCTGGAAATGTCCCTGCAATTACAACACATGACCATGCAACTGGTTACAAGCACTGTTACTGGTGAGGTCTGTGCCTCAAACCACAGGAAGTAACAAACCCTTGGGCTGGAATATTCAGCTCACTGCAGCTGTTTTAGGCAGCTCCTCAGCTGCATTTATGCATCAAAACATATGTTAAAATTTGTAGGAGGATTCTGGACACACCAAGTCTCCTTAATGAAAGAAGAGAGAGCTAAGCCGAACTGTCAGAAAGAGGACAAACCACAACAGTGCATGAGGGGTGGTGGTTGTGACAGCAGGATGCCCCTTTCCTTTTGACAGATGGGATAAGACAAAAATTCCTAAAAAACATCCCTAAAAATTATGCTACTTCAAACAGTCATGCTCATGTTGTATGCACCTCTTGGTTTTCCTTCTGCCCCACACTGTATAAGCACTTGGCCAGACAGGCTCCATATCCTGATTTGCTGGGCAGGTCCTTTACTGCTTGTGTCTAATATTCATTACTAAACTGCACTCTGTACACATTATAGTCAATCTGGAGTAGGTAATCTCTTCTAACAGTAAGGTTACACCCTCACAATCGTAAATACTTCACCCCAGCACCTGTAAAGAAGCAGGCAAGCGGCACTTACTATTTTACTTTCATAGAAGTTCCTACAGTCCAGCAAGATGGTATCGCTTTGTCCTTGAGTGGCCTGAGACAAATACTGTTCTACTTCTCTATGAAATTCCTGAGGGGATAAATGGATTCCTTTAACAAAACAAAACAAACAAGGGGGAAAAAAAAAAAAAAAAAGAAAAGAAAAAAAAAGAGAGAAAAAAAAAGGGGGGGAGAAAGGGATCAAAAAATAAAACGATGAAACAATGTCACAAATGAGATCAGTGATCCAGATTCTCCTCAGATTTCCAAGCAAAACTTTTGATTATTCTCAAGACTTTTCATCCCAACTCAATCAGCCAAGTTTATCCACATTTGGCTTTCTACCAGCAAATAGAAGAAATCACAACACTCTTCCATACAATGGAAGAAGCAGAAGACAGCTACTTATCTCTATGATCTCTTCTTGCATCTCCCTGGCTACTCTTTCAGCTGCAGAAGAGGGAGTGACATGTGCCACTTCTCTTTGCTCATATGTCACTATACTTGGAGGTGCAGAAATACAATTTTTTTAATTAAACTCTTCTTGATAACAATAGAAAATTTCCATAAACATGTATTCAGTACAACTTCATTTTACATGAGGTTTCTCAATTTCAGGGCTTAGGATTCTTAATCTACTGAAAAACTAAAAAACTCCACCAGCAAAATCCTTTACTTTATTAAAAAATACCCCTATAAGCAACCTGCCAGAGTAATAGGAACCATCTCCATAAAATGCTGCAAAAGAGGAGGAAAAGGGACAAAAAAGGAAAAAAATAGGCAAACATACAGCCCACAAATTAAAAAAAAAAAGGGATCAAAAAATAATTCTCTTCCAAATCCACAAAAAGATGCTGTAGAAATTCGGCACCAACAAAACCTCTTGGTGGAAAAAAAAAGCCCAAAGCTGCTCTGTTAATTGCTATTTGCTGTGCTCCTGCTTACCACCTATGTAAGCGTCCTTAAAGCAAATCCACAGCCAGGAGCACCTTATCAGGTGTAATCCACACTAAGCAGCTACAGTTAGCACAAAACAAATGCAGTCAGATGGAGCTCATGCAGAACTTGGATCTGCTTAGTGCAAAAGGCAGGAGCACGGCTGTTGGTGCCAAAACGAGTGAAGCCAAGTTAGCAGTCTGTACCCCACAACAAGGTAACTGCTCCATGTCATCTGAACCCTCCCACAAAACCTGAAGTTTTCTGAGGCAGCTATAAACTTGGCTGCCAAAATCTAGGCCAGCAAATTCTCTGCACCAGTAGCTTTTGACTACCATTAATATACCAATTTCTGTATCTATTTCTGTGTCCTGGTGAGTGTGCAAAGGGAAGTATTTTTGATGAAGGATTTTACTTGTCACTCATCTCTCACTTGGGTGAGAAACTTTATTTTTCATTACATAAACTTACCAGTTTCCTTATAAGACAGTATCTTTGGATCAATGCCCATAGGTACAATTTCTTTGAATACTCCAACTCGAAGATCTGGGAAACAATGAGCTCCTCCTGCACTGCTCTAGGAAATCAAATATAAAAAAACAACTCACCAAAATTTGCCTGGTGTCCAAATTTAAATTACTCACTCACTTTAATTCTACAGATCATTAGAATATGAAAGTATCTTTGTGGCTGAGGGAAAGAAATGTCTTTCCTGCTGAAATCCACGCTCTAAATCCTGAAGTTTAGGCAGTGGAGCCCTAACATGATCTGGAAGAAGGTGTCTTAGGCCCAATGACTGCACGTGAGACAGACAGCATTTGGTTGGAAGTGCAGGGATGTAGACCAAATCTTAATCAGCAACATGTTACTAGCACTTATCGTGAGAAAGTTGAGGCCCCTACAAAAGCATGCTGATCATGACAGGAATGTTAAATAATGTCTTGCAGTAATGGATCGTGTTGCCACATGCAGGCCCTGCAGCTCCCTCTGCAGACCCTGCAGTTCTCCTCATCCCTCTGGCACAGACACAAGCACAGCTGTGCCACCAGTCGTGACGCGTGTGATGTCTACTGCAATGTTCATGCATGTGACAGAGACTTATGGGACGTCAGCCAGACACAAGATCTGTAAACAGCGCAGGCTGGCACCTCCCTCTCCTCTCAAACTCAAGCGTGGGATTTCCCCTTCAGAAGTCCTGGTAAGCCCTTTGTTGGTAGGCACCACCATTGCAGGCTATAGGGATTGAGAATTTCTGCAGGCTGAGCCTGAGACATAGCTTAGGCATCATCAAGTAAATAAACACACAAAGAAAAGTGCAGTGCTGTGCAGCAGTGTTCCAACTGTTATGGAAATCAGTCTGCAGCAACTGTAGTGGCCACTGGGCATGTTTATAGCTTAGCTCCAAGCACGGTTCTCTCTCCTCTATCCCATGTCTTCACAGCACAGCAACCTGAAAGCCTCACTCACTCGGGCATACAACATTCAGGAGGAACTGTGAGACAGCAAACAGTATATTCCACTGTCCTGGGTTGACTATATGACGCTTTTATCCCCAATCGTCTTGTTCTGTTTATACTGAATAATAAGTTTTACACCTTTAAGACTCTCTTCCAAAGAGTGAAGAGGGGAGGGAAGTAGCGCGCAGTTTGTTTTCAGACTGCACTCACTCCTCCATATTCCTGCTCCTGGACTGTGTTGTCTGCGGATGGACAGACAGCAGGACAGAGCTCCTTTTTTTTCCCTTTTTTTTTGCTTTTAGTTAGTTTTAGCTAGCTGAGGCAAAGAAGTTCCCTGGACTGTGATTTTTCCTTTTTCTTGGATCTGTTCAAGCCTGCTCTGGACTGAACACCCAGAGGAGCACCGGCAGCTCCACCTGAGGCCCCTTGGCCGGGCCTGGGCCGCGGCGTTTCCAGCACCAGAGAGACTGATCAGAAACTGAGTGAGCCAAGCTGCAACCCGGGGAGGGGACTGTTCTGAGGTTTTTTTTTTTTGGAGCAGTGAGAAGTTTTATTGTTTAATATTGTTTGGGTTCTATTGTTTAATAAACAGGTTTCTTTCCACTTTTTCTCCAAGGAGATATTTTCTCCCGAACCGGTTGGGGAGGGAGGGGCAATTGAATCTGTTTTTTGTAGAGAAGCCCCTTTGGGGGTTATCTCCCAAACTTGCCCTAAACCAGGACATCCACTAATGCCTGAACACTGGTGCCCAGAGAAATCATGCAAGGTTGAAGGTATTGCCAAGGCTGGGGTAAAATTCCATCCCTGGTTTTTTGTTTTTTTTGTATCTACATATGACTGTAACTAACACAACTTCTCTTGAAATTCAGCCAAGCATAACAGACACTTTTAAAGCCAAGACTGAATCATCATTGCAGCTCAGCATGGAATCTGAGTTTCACAAGTTTCACTAAATCCTTTGATCTAGCTGCTTATGAAAAAGCAATAGCACTCCCTGCAAATAAAACTGTGTGGAGAAGAGCTGCTGCTTAAGCAGCAGCCTTCCTTCCTTGCAGAGAAACCAGAACCTACAGTGGCTGGCAGCCAAAGCCTACCAAAATGCCGTACAGTACACCAGCCACTGCTGCCCTCATCATCTGAGGACAGCAATCAGTATGTATGCTCCAGCCAGGCACTAAGTGGAGTAGGAAGAAACCTCTTGACAGTCTCTGTGTGTTCTCTCCGGAAGATACCCAATCCATGGAACTGACAGCGCACCTATATGGATACCAAAATCTGCAGTAGTACTGCTTCCAGTCAAAGCAGGATGAAGAGGACAGTGTGCAAACACTTGGCTGGGCTAAGTGTACGTCATGATGCCTGCCCAGCCTGGAGTAAATGCTTGTTGAAGAATGCTGGGGCTTAGGCACATTCCCTCACTCACCTGTACTGGGGGGCTTTGTAGCTGCACCCATAGCTGCCAAAGCTTGTAGCAGCTGCTAACACTGCCTATGGAAACTCCCAATTCTGGTAAAAACCAGCAAATATTTTTGGTATGGTTGAGATCCACCGACTCAGGTAAGTGGTGGGGGAGCAGAACTGCTACGGCAGAAGTAATACTGTCAAGAAGGAATCTACTAATTTATCGAAAATTAAATTACCCGCATTAACAATGTCTATGTAAAAATTATTTTTTCATACCTTGAAATCCTCTTGACACAAAATGTTTTTGAACAGAGGCTGGGAAAGCATAACTTTAATGTAGAGACTGGTAGCTACTTTGCTTCCACCAACTGTCCCATTAATCCCTTCTGAAGCAACTCGTACCTAGAAGGCAAGAGGAGAAGCTGGGGCTGAGCCTTACTTCCAACAAAAGAGATCAGAGTGAAATCAGCAAAATATGACTGGGTGACAAAGGGCAGGCACAGGAGTATGTTCAGAAAACAGACTACTGAATAAGGAAGGAAAATATGGTTAGATTGAAATTGAACATAAAGAAAATAAACAGGAAAAAAGCCCTCAACAATCCAGTAATCACTTCTCAACCTTTTTAAAAGAATCACATCAGGACAGAGAAATCCATTCAATAAACAGAGAAATGCTGTATAAACAGAGAAATTGCTGTCTGCAAATCCTGCAGTCAGCATTAGAATTCCCATTGGAAGTTGCCTCAGAAAGAACAATAGGCTTGTGCTGCACGACTCACACAGCTAAAAAAGACAATGTGAATATGCATAACATTGTATCTAATATTAAATTTTAGGATGAGTCATTTTATCTCCAGCACTGACAAATGAACAAAAGCTCTGAAGTGGGGATGGGGGGAAGGGGGAAAGTCTGAATATAAAAAGCAAGGAAAAAACCCAACTGATTGGGAAGGTAAATGTGGTACCTGTCTTGGAGATGAGATGGAAAAAAAAAAAAGAAGCAAAAAACTCGAGCAAAACACCAACTACCGGGCAAGAGAGCTGAGCAGAAAAAGAAGTGAACCCATGATGACACTTCACCTCCAGACCTGTGCTGATGCACCACTGGCAGAGAGCAACAAGCTACTTGGGAAGACAAGTCACAGACAAAAGGAGCCTCCTGCTCCACAATGCCCTCCTTCTCTCCACAGACAGCCTAGGAACATCAGCTTTGTGAGGCTAAAATTCATCTTCTCCCACAGCATCCAGAGGCCAGCTACACAAGCAACTCACATCATTGGTCTAGCCTGCCAGGAATGAAGGGAACAGACTGTGCAGGAAAGAGAACTGCTGAGAACATTATGGTGTGGTCTAAGGTGTTGGCTGCTCTCACCTAATTCCCAACAGTATGGTTTACAGCTTGATGTAGCCACTCTGACTGGGAGCCCACTGTGCACCAGGAGGGAGGATACAGGTGACCAGTGAGTGGAGCAGGCCCAGACATGCTATCCCTGCAGCTTGGCCCTCAGGCTGCACTGTGCTGTAGTACCCTTGAGCCACAGGATACACCCAGCCTGCTAATGCTAACTGAGACACCTGCGTGCAGCTCCCTGCTGACACCAGTGATTAATCCACTTTCATCTCCTTGCCTTTATAGAAAAAAAGCACCACGAATTTCTCATGTGAATATCCATTCTGGTTGATGGCAGGAGTGATAAAAAACCTCATCTTCCTATTTCCATGTGTAAAACTGATGGAAATGGGGTAGCTCTTGCAAGGATAGGGTCCGTACTGTGTGCTGCCTGTGAGGCTCACTCAATGCCACACAGCCCAGGGCTCCCTGTATCAAAAGGGATTTCAGATTATCTGTATTTTTTTTCCTTTATTGTGATAGCTCTTAAGCAGAATTCTAAAAGATATCTTACCAAGTCTGAGTGCCTCTCTTAATGGGATCATAACAGACTAGCACCTTCTGGTGCAAAACACACCTGGTTCTCTGTATAACCCATCATCCTGCACTAAATAAAGATGTGGGGCTTCTTCATTAAGAATAGAACCATTGCTTCAAGCCTTACCTTGCCAGTGAGATGCAGATGCTGACACAAAGCCTTTTGCCAAGCACAGAGTTTCTCCGGATCCCTCACCTCACAGTAACAGTAATAGAGAAGTACATCTCCCACCTGGCTGCCCACAGCATGGCAAAGGTAAGCAAACAGAAAAATAACGTTAAGAAAGAACAAAACTATACTATTAGCAGTAACCATTCAAAAAGCAGTTTTCTTTTGGTAGATGTGTAGAGGGAAAAAAACCCTCAAACAAACTTTGGAGGCATTAGCACTACTGGGTTTGATTTATTTCAAACAGAAGGAATATTAACCAAAAGAACCTCCCACGCTTCTAATTCTAATTGGGTCTAGTAATAAAGTGAACTTTGTACTCTCACTGCCAGTGGCCTACCATATGCTCTCTCCACATACAGAACACAAGAATTGCTGACTTTTGTGCACACAACCAAGCCATTAAATGCTCGCTTTGCCAAAACAGCACTTGAAAACTCAAGCACTTGCGCTGTCTAAATTTAAAAAGACAACGTTTTTTTGTGAGACTGCGTGTTCCCACATTCTGTGCAGCACAAACTGAACTCTGTCACAGTCCAAAATGCTCTTGTGAACCTTCCTCATAACTAAATGAGCCCTTCAGGAACCTGAACGAACAGCAGAAAAGAACCCGTGCAGAGCATATCCTGCTGTTCTGCCCTTCTCTGCTGCGGTCCTTCCTTACAGACCCAAGCTGTCAAAGAACATCCATACAGGCCTGCTTTAACAGTACAGGATGATATAGCTCAGATAGCTCAATCCCCCATTAAAAACTGCACGGGATCTAACTCTTTATATAAAGGATACCAAAAGAATCTGAAGATCCAGATATTGAGGAAGACTCCTCCTGTACCTTAGAGGTGTCTCTTGACTGACTATCATAAGCAGTACTACCGGCAGACGACCAAAGCCGAATACGGCACTCCTGGAGCTTCAGAGCGGCGAGGGGCTCCCTTACCTTGTCAGATCATCACGGCTGACGTGGCTTGTGTCCGGGAGCGCCCAGGAGATCTCCGGGCTCGGCCGGGCCGCGCTACCCGCCGGCGCCGGGCCGCCCGCGGGGCTGCCTGCGGCCTCAGCCGGCCCCGCTCCGAGCCCCGCCTGCCGCCCGACGTCTCCGGAGTGGTGCAGAGCCACGTGCCTGTGGATGCCGGGCAGCTCCTCGAACGCCTGCCGGCAGCACCGCCACCGCACGCCCTCTCCGCCGCCGGGACCCCGCGACGCGGCCGGCACCTCCTTGGCTTTGACGAACAGGGAAAAGGCCTGGAACGCAGCGCAAGCGTCCGCGTTACCGAGGTTACCGCGCCGTCCGGCCCAGGCCCCGACCAGCCCGGCCCGGCCCGGCCCGGCCCCGACCCACCTTCCTGCGGGCGGCCGCGCGCTGCTTCCTACCCGCCGCGGCACCCTCGGCGCTGCCCCGCGGCGAGCCCGGCCCGGGCGGCGCCGCCTCGCCCGGCACCATCTCCGCCTCTCCGCCGGGAAGCGCCCGCTCTCCTCCTCCCCCTCTCTTGGTGCCTGCCCCGGAAGAGCTCGTGTTCCACTGGAAAGTGGGCTGGAGAGGCCGTGCCCGCCCCGGAAACAGCGCGGCCGAGGGCGGGGAAGCAGAGCGCTTAGTCGGCCCGCGCGAGGAGTCTCGGCCCAGTGCTTCTCGCAGCTCCTCAGCGCTCCGCACCGCTCCTCCCGGCTGCTCCTCTCCTCTGCTCCTTGCCATGTCGCGGCGGCGGCACAGCGACGACAGCGATGGTGAGCCCCGCGTCCCCCCCGAGGTGGCCCGGCAGGGAGGGTGGCTTGGGCGGGATGGAGGAGCGGCGGGATGGAGCAGCGGCAGGGTTTCTGCGGCGTCCGTAACGCTGTGCTCGGTGTGTTGTTGGAGCAGGGCAGCCCCACAAGAGACGGAGGACGTCCGAGCCGTCGGAGATCGAGGAGAGGCTCGAGTCGCTCATCTGCAGAGTGGGAGAGAAGGTAGGTGGGCCGGCAGTTCGGGAAGAGTTAAAACCTGGTTTCCTTTCGCCCTCTCTCCTTCCCGTGCGTGGTGTAGGAGCACTTTGTCTGTAAAAGCGACCCTTAAAAAAATTATTTTATGAAATGGATAAAAGGTTGCCCTTTTTTTTTTTTTTTTCTTTTTTTTTTTTTTCTTGCTAAGCCACGTGCTGTGGCGGGTAAGAGCTTAAATCGCAGTGTAGTGGTTCCCAATCGGCGATAAACGGCCAGGGGATGGCTACTATTGTATCTAAAGATGGTGCTGATGATTCTAGCCTGGGAAAGGTGTGGAAAAATTAACTGGTCTTCCTGCGGCATAAAGTTTCCAGTCCTGATAATGGGGCTGATGGAGGAGGAGAGGGTGGCAGAACAAAAGATGATGATGTTCTGAAAAACAAGGTGTTTTCCTTCGTGCTGAGTTGTTAATGAGTGCTCCGCCGCGCTACCGGGATGTTCCTGAGGTGACGTTAGATCTTGCATCTCGGGGGAACACTGAAGTTCCTAGCAGGGGGGTCGGGTGCAGCTCTTAGGCAAGCGAGAGCAGCTCTTTGCTGCTGATGGAACGGAATTGTTGCCCTGAAAAATTAGGCGACGTGAAAGGATGCTATTGTCCAACTTCATTGTCTTACATGTGGGCGTTGGACTAGTTCGTTTTGCTTGGTTGATGAAACTTTTTTTTTTTTTCCATTTTAGAGTAATTCATCTTTGGAGAGCAACCTGGAGGGCCTAGCTGGTGTTTTGGAAGCTGATCTGCCAAATTACAAAAGCAAGATACTAAGAATACTGTGTACTGTGTACGTATTGAGAGGGTTTGGGAATGTGGGATGTGCTTGAAATGTGTATAAAGGCTTAAAAACGTTAAACGTTAGAACTGGTCTGCAGTAGCTGTGGGAACACAGCTATTCCGGGCAAAATCCTGTTTCACATTAAATGCTTAAGACCAGCAAAGTGGCTGGTAACAGCTACCTGTGTTATCTGCGATGTTTTCTCACGACGTTCTCTCCCCTGGTAGTCATGTGCTCATGCCTTTGTAAGCCCATTTGCTAGGGGAGAGGAGCTGGGAACGTGAAGAGCAGAAACCAGGCGCTCTGGTGGCTGCCTTCCTCTCTCTCACAAAGTGCAGGAGCAGAGGTGCTGTGTCAGGGTCACTGAGTGGTGTTGAGGGAAGGGTTGTGCAGAGTCTGTCGTAGGAGGTAACACAAGTCCGAAGGAAGGGTGTGGTGCAGACTATATAGCCTATGCCAAGGTTTTGCAGATACTTAAACTTTATTTTGTAGCAGTACTTTTATTAAAAAGTAAGTAGTGCACTTCCTTCCCTAGCAGCAGACGGACACTGCTTATAGTATGCTTACATGCATGCAAAAATGGTAGAGGTAAATTACTTTTTTACAGTAGGACCTGGCCTTCCCTATGCTGTGTTATAACGTTACTTATTAACTGTGAACTTAAACCAACTTTTTGCATTACTGCGATAAATTCTGTCACTAATATTACTTGTCCAACTCTCCAGTATACCCAGCAATTAGATATAAATGAAAAGCAAATATTTTAGTACTAGAAAGTGGTAGCAGCTGTCTTTTCTGATTTTCTCATGAGGCAAGTTTGACTTACAACAGGCAGATTCTAAGATACTGTGCAGTGGCCAATTGGCACATGATGAATAAACAACTAACCCAGTTTTTTTTTTTCTGTGTCAGCGCACGTCTGCTACCAGAAAAGCTTACTGTTTACACGACATTGGTGGGCTTGCTGAATGCCAGGAACTACAATTTTGGCGGGGAATTTGTAGAAGCCATGATTCGTCAGCTTAAAGAATGTCTGAAAGTCAACATGTATAATGAAGCTGTGCATTTAGTAAGTGGAGTTTTATTTATATATTTGTTTCATGTCCTTTTTCTTTCCTCCTTTCACCTTTTTGTTACAGAAGAGCTGGACCTTGCAATGTGTGTTTCAGTGTCTTTTGCCATCAATGTGCAGCGCACTGTAAATATTCCAAAAGGAAATGTGTGTTATGTGAGAAGTATTTTCTTTTTCAGGGACGTGGAGTTGTGTTATTTGCAAAATTTACTTCCAACAGTATTTTTTTTGCAGTGAAAAATTACATGTGTGTTAAACAGAGGTGCTTTTCGCTGCTTGTTCTTCAGTCAAATGTAAAAGAGTAAAAAAAAAGTCAGTGCACTTTCCTTGTATTCAGAGATAGATGACAATTTTGTGGCTCCTGTAGGGGAAAAAAATGGAAAAGAATATGAACACTGTAGTTCTTAAAAGCTGTTTTTGATGGCTGATTTAATTCTGCTGATAAGGGTTGAAGATCAAGCAGTCAGTTTTAAGTGCTGCCTGTCTTTGAAACCATTTGCTTCATCCTTGCTGCTTGTAGATTTTGTCTGCTGTAAGGTATTAGAACTTAAGCAGTGTCTGATTTAGAAGCCCACTGCCAAGTTCCCTGCCTTTTTCTGAATCCCACTGGTGAAAATTAAAATTCCAGTCAAGAGACTGATGTTCAGTCTACTGTAGGACACTTTTGCTAAGAAGATCTAATTGCTAGAACCTGTGTTATTTTTGTTATCTGATACTGTATGGAATAGGGACAAGTACAGGGGTTTTCTTCTGGAGTATCAGTTTGCATATTGCCCACTGTTCCTTAATTAGGAATATTATCATTACGATGTTGTTGCAGTGGGAGAGATTAAGGACATTATAATGAACAATATGTTAGGAAGCGCCTATGATGCTTGTCATTGAAAGGCAAGTCTGTGCAGTGTGCACAGCCTTTGTGGTACTGAATGAGTATTATACTTCTATTAGTGGTTTGTTTTAATTATTTCATTAATGTATGTTTGTTCTTGTGCAGCCAGTTTAAAAAGTGTTCATTTCTAAACTTTTTTTTCTCTTCTTTAGGTACGTTTTCTGTCCGATCTCGTGAACTGCCATGTAATAGCTGCACCTTCAATGGTAGCTATGTTTGAGAACTTTGTGAGTGTGACACAGGAGGAGGACGTACCCCAGGTAAGCAAAAGATCTGCAGGCTCCCTGGGCCTGTTTCACAATCTGTACTGTTTGTTCTTTCTTTATGCTTAGAAGAGGGAGGTTTTAGGGAGAGCAACCTAAATGGATTGGCGCATACAGTTTCCTCAGTATTAGTAAAAGGAGCCTGTGGCAATTGGGAAATATGTGTACAGTAAGAAAGTATGGTCCTTTATGGTGAAGTGACCAAATTGAATTTATTTTGCCTCACTCTGGCAATTGCAGTGTGCCTAGCTTTTCTGCTGTACTGACAATATCCGGGAGAACTTCAAAAGTGATGCCATTTATCCCATTTTTTAAGTCTGCCTAACACAGTTCAAGTGAAAACTTATACTTTTCAAGCATGAATCTTTTTTCTCATGCCATGCCTATCCAGTCTGCAACTGCTGGTCTTTACATTCCCCCAAAAGAACTTGCTGATGTTTTAAATTAAAATGTGTGTGTACAAAATCTGCTGGAGCTTACTGGTATACTCAGGTTTTGGTATATTGCCTTCCTACAGGTGCGATGTGACTGGTATATGTTTGCATTTCTGTCATCTTTGCCTTGGGTTGGAAAGGAATTATATGAGAAGAAGGATGCTGAAATGGATCGTCTCCTGTCTCAGGCAGAAAGTTATCTGAAGTAAGCTGTAACTGGTTAGAAACACTCTCTCTGGTATCTATTTTAGTGTAAAGTAATAGTGTTGATTATTGCTCACTTTAAAGTATTCTAAAGCTTCAGGTGGGAGCTATTTAGTGGGGGGAACAAAGCCCTAAAAATGCAGTAGGTGAAGAGTTTTTTGACTTGGAAAAGTTTCATGGTCTTGTCTAGTTCTAGGGTACGTTTAAGGTCTTGCTCTGCTCATGCTGAAGCAGCTGTAGCTGTGTGCTATTAGTACAGATCGATTGTTGCATTAGTGCAGTGTTGCTTTCTGTCTAGGTGCTTCAGGTTAACGTTTGTCAAGATACTATAATGGAGACATTTTAAGTATCACAAACCTGGCTTTTATCTACTGTAGAATTCATCAGCTGAAGAGAACAAATAGTAGCACACTCACAATAAAAAACAAAACTGCTGCCCTAAATTAAAGTCTGTTAAAACTCAGGTTTTCTTTCCTGTTTAAACAGACGCCGCCAGAAGATTCATGTACCCATGCTGCAAGTGTGGACTGCTGATAAACCACATCCACAAGAAGAGGTGACTAGACTTTACACTTCATTCCTTTAGAAAACTGGGAAAATAATTTTTTACCAAGGTTCTTTTACATGAAATTAGAAGGCACCTCTAAGAGTATGAATGCTTTGATTTGTCTGCTGTTTGCCATTGATTCCAACAAGTTCTGTGGGGGGAGCTCTTTTCCAAGTATTGGGCTGAAATAAGAGACTGTGTTGAGTAAGGAGGAGGGGATTCTGTTGTTTGCTGCAAGCCCCCGAGGAAAAGTTATGAAGTAAATTGTAGTGTTTGATTTTGAACTTTACAAGCACGTTACAGGGCTTCATGTTAAAAGGACTTTTTTTGTGAAACTGTGAGCATGCCGGGATATTAGGACTTTTAATACCACCAAAGAGCAGTGACTGTTCACTGGTGTAGTTTCTCTGGGACTCATGAGGTGCCTGTTGGTGTTTTAAAAATTGCCAGGAGTTAAATATTACTGACACAAAACGGTATGGACTTAGGAATAATTCTGGTGTTTAGAGTTCTTAAATTATTTGTTGGTTTACTGAA